TGTGGTATCGATGGCTTCTCGCCCGCCTCCACTCCACTTTCTCCTTACCTACATGTGAAGAACAAGACATTCTTCCAGCCAACATCCTCTGCGTCAGATGTCCTGGCTAAACTCAACATCATTTCCATCGCTCGTCGTTCCTTGCCCTCGGGTGAACCTTGTCCACAAGCTCCAAAGTTGCATGAATGCGTATTGATGATATTGCGCCAACAATCAAGCGGCATTCTAAGAGCCTGAAATATACAAATTGATTTATTACAGAACATTTTAAGCTTCAACGTGGTTATTTAATAGTAACACATGCAAAGAGCCATGTTTACCTTTGCTTTTTATACCCTGCAGCCATTTCAACTTCTTGAGGAGGAACTCTTTGTGCCCAGATGTTGCAGTAAAGGCATGTTTCATAACAGATGAACTGATTGTTGTGCTGCTGTTGAATGCATTGAATAGCTGATCGAAGCACTCTAAAAATTCAGCTGTATGTATCGCCTCTTTGTTGATGATGCCCCACTGTGACATAACCTTCATACCAGTTGCCACAGAATGGCTCACAACCTGGCACGCAAGCTTCACTCTAAGGGAACTGAATGGTGGCAGGTTTAAATGTTTCTCAGTCAGCTTCGGAGCTAATCTGGTCGGCTTACTAGCATCTTTATAGTAAAAGTCACGTATGTGTTGCCACTCGATACTGTATTCATCAACCGTGAATCCGTGCTTTTTTAGATTGTTCCTGATGTTTTTGATCAAGTGTGGAGGATCATAGATGACGAAGATCTTGCGTCCTTCATGCAAAAAGAATGGTTTGTCGACAGTTACATGCAGTTTCGTCTGAAAGAGGTTGATGTTGTTACTGCCTTGGTCACTGATCACAGCTGTTACGGTAAGACCGATGTTGCCCAGAAGCTCTAAAGCCTCAAACAGTCGACATCTCATCTCTTCACCAGACATCGTACCAGCTGAGAAGAAAAAGCCAAATGGCTGCTTCCATCTGTAGATGATGCCTCGAACGATGAACGCGATTGCATGGTTAGCAAGCTTTTGTTCGACCAAACCTTCAACGATATCTCTCTTGCGATCATATGACAGAGCTGTCTTGATACACATTTCATCCATTGCTATACACACAAGCTTTGCCACAGGTGGAAGATTCTGCACTTTGAGACGAAGTGCTTCTAGTATGTTAGTGTTGAATCCTGGATAAAGTTCAAGGTTGTTCATCACTTTCATTAGAGTTTGGACAGAAGGCAATGCAAACGCTTTTCTAAGTATTCGATACGTTTTTGGGCTTGAGTGCAACAGTGACAGTGCAAATGCTTTATCATGGGTGGTCCAACGTCGTCCCCTCACAGTCCGGTTTGATGCACGGATCTGGGACATAACAAAGTGGAGTTGTATATCTGGAAATGGGAAAAATAAGACAAATTATTAAATTGGTAGTGCTCACATTTTTATGAGTTCAGATTTAATACACATTGTTATCTCCACCACTTTGCAACGCTGTCCATACTTTGCTTATTTTGTTTAAAATCAACCCAGTGTGGTGGAGGTAGCTGTCTAGTTTTATGGTTGAAATATATTAAAATGTATATCTACATATTTTTGTAGAAGCATTCTTATTTATCTAATATGGCAGTGTCCAAAAATGCAGATAGCCTATATAAAATATATCCCTAAACATACCACTAAGGTATTCTTTCAGAAGGCTTTCAAGCTGTTGCAGCCTATTTTTTGTTAGAGGTGCAGCCTTCTGGTTCAATGTCCTGATGCTCTGCACTTTCAGCTTCAAGCGATGTATCTGGACAAGTGAAAAATTATTAAACAATTACAATTATGAAACAATTATTGAACAATTAGAACACAAGGCAGATAATTATATCATACCGGGTTCAGTTCAAAATATTACACCATGGGATACTCAACAAAAAAATAGTTCAAAGTCATAACTAGTTAATCATGAATAAATGACCAAATAATAATATACTGTATGACCAAACCAGCAAAAATTTAAGAGACCTTTAATTTTTGACTAACATCAAATGATCATTTTGAAAGTTCTAAGAATAGCAGCAACAAACCATAAATTATGTAGTACCCATTAACAGTAGACACTTATCCATTATAAATGTTCATGTTGTGATACTAAATCACATTGAAAAGGAATTGAAAAAGTTAATATAATAACCTGCGTCAGGAGTGCTTTATTTCGCCGCTTCAGGTTCTTCATCTTCTCCTGGTAACTTGGCGACTCGGATACATTGGGCAGAGATTCGATGGAAGGTGTAGGAACAACATCTTTGTCTGACGAAACAAACAAAATTTACATGAAATATCTGTTATTTGCCTAATAACTCTCACTCAGCATCATATTACTGTATACTGACAATTCTTTGTACTTAATTTTATTTAGTTTTAAAATTCTTTAAAAACATAAATTTAGCCAACCTAACATTAATTCTATTTTTTATCATATGTTTTCTATATAGATCTTCATATTTGCTATTATTCAATTCACCTGTAGTACTTAACTACATGATGGAATAAACCTTCAATTCACCTGTAGTACTTAACTACATGATGGAATAAACCTTCAATTCACCTGTAGTACTTAACTACATGATGGAATAAACCTTCAAAGCCATCAATAAAGAAACTGCCAGAAAACAAACAATAACACTTAAAATGTTACAAAAGTACATATGTACTCAAATTCCTAATGATCTCACCAATCTTGGGCTTCTTGCTCGGTGAACTGCATCTTGCCGCTGGACGTTTCCTCTTAGCGGTGATTCTTTGTGGAGGGTTTGGCACGTCAAAAATTGTAGGAATCGCATTCCACACCAGTTTGTTGCGGCTCGACACATTCATAAACTGTGAATCCTGGGAAATATTCAAAACATCACTGATTTAGATTTGATGTGGTTGTTTTAGAGATGAAAACAATATCTGGAATATTGTGGCCCAAGGCAAGGGTCGATAACCATGACATGATAACGAGAACGTATCAAAATAGTATCATAATCGGAAATATCAAAATAGTTGTCTGGGGATACAATAAACTTCTGATCTTATCTTGCCTCAAAATGTACTGAGCAGAACACGCAATTCGAATTCAGATACAATGCATCTTTCTGGCGGAGGTCTTCCCTCCTGGAAGTCTGCACCCAGCACGCACATCTAACAATGAAGAAGTAGACCAGTATCATAAGGATACCAGTAGTCAGTACAACGGTATGTTTCATAAATATATGATTGTGTACAATTAACAACAAACAGATAAAAATCTCATAGACGACAACATCAGCCATAACAATATCATTCATGAAGTTTGCAAAAGCATATATGAATTTAATAGGCCTAACATCTTATGATAATAATAAAAAAACATTTGTTTTGGTGCATATACATAATGCATGAGTTTTAATTAACGAATTACAAAATGCCCCGAACGATAATTGCTTTACCCCCGGCTAACCCAGCTAGCCTACCATAGTTAGGAGTCTAGATCTATCTCAAGTGAATCTTCCATGAAATGTTCTGAGATATGGAGATGCCGAACATGCTATGCCTACCGGGCCTATTACATGATAGTGATGGGAGTCGCCCCCGCCCTTCTGTGCGGTTTCTATAATCCGATCATACGGTTTATACTACACTAACTCTGCGCGACACAAATGCTTCACCCGACCCGCCCCATCGACCATGAGACAGATGAATAGCGTGTGGCCTTTTCCCTCCTCGATCATTCCTTAACTTAGCGCTAGGACAAACATCCAAAATACGACAATAACTGAATAAGTATCGTGCCTATAATTTTGCTTTACCTTTCTGAGTCCTTTGGAAACCTAAAGAAACTTAGGTCCCGCCTATTTTTTCGGTTATTATTGCAGTTTACCGCTGCACAGTGGTGTCCTGTACTTTTCGACTTCCAATTGGATTTCTCCATGGCTGCCTGCAAGATGCCTGCAAGTACCTTACCACTGACGCTAGTAGCGGCGCTGGTCGCGCCAAGCGCGCACTATGCACGCAAATAGGACACCTCGCCCATCTATGTTTCACATCTTTGGGATAACTATGCGCTTCGGCCTCCGCCTCCAACCGCCCCGCCGCCCGAGGCCGGCAGAGATTCCTTGTGATGCGCTCCTAAAGACGCTGGCCGTCTCTTCTCGATCATCTTCAAATTTCGCATGAAGGGCGTATCACGGGGTGAAGCGAAGACGCGAAAAGGTTTTAGTGTGCGGAGTCATCATTGCCATCCCCCGGTAACAGACCTTTTTTGTCGAAAATATCGCTACGAACGTGTAGCTGCATTTTTTACCCCACTACTTGTCATGTAAATTTGGCACACGCACGGACATATGTATACATATATCATATCATATAATAATATATATATATCTATCATTATATACACTGATCTACTACTGCGGACATGTTATCAACTGGCCTCGTGTGCGCAACATTCTAATGACAACGCCTACAAGCAGCAGCAAGTTACAGGTTCTTACCAATATTTCGCAACAAAAGATGTTGTGTACATGGCAACCGATTGACTCCGCCACACCAAAAACAATTGGCGTCTTTGCCTTTAGCCATTACCGCACGCTTGGCATCTGGGAAAGAGGTGTGCAGCAGTAACTCAAGACCAGTCACTGCGACCTTGCATTTCACCTTTACCCTGAACCTTGATCATAATTTCCTTCCGCTCTCTAACTCGGCACCAACACCTAACCTAGCCGCAGCTCTAGCGCTCGCTCCCTAAATTGAGCCTACGCGCGTACCAAAACTTCGCGTATGCTTACACATCTTCGGAGAAGGTCGGTCCGCATAACCAAACCACAACTGCACTTGACGCTAGTTTTGCACCTTGCCAGTCGACTTACATTATCCTCTTCGGCCCTCCTAAGGTAACCAATTCACACCATACTTGCACATCTGAGGCCATACCTCAGTTGTCCTAAAGGTAGGGCGACCGGACGAGCGACTTTTGACGCCCGACCGGCTCGCCCCGGGGCGGGGGCAGGAGGGGGGCGGGGGGGGGGGGCGGGGGGGGGGGCGGGGCGGGCGCCCGAATGCTTTGAAATCGCCTGAAAATTGCCCCGCGCACCCCCCCCCACACAGAGCGCGTCGTCCGTTCACTCGCCGCCCACGATTTTAATCGCCCCCACGAAGTAAGCCCAGCATCCAAAATGTTAGATCTTTCGCAGCCGATTATTTACGCTGGCAAAATTCGCTCGGTGCCCATGTCCGGACGGTATTTTTTGTCGGCCCGACCTCCGATTTTTCTAACCCAATCGGACGTGTCTGTTGATATCATGTGAGCTTAAACATGGGGCGCTTCAACTTCGCCGTACTGTGCCCCTTCTCGTAGATCGGGCGATTAATTCAGCCCTGGCGATTTTAACTCGCGGATCGGCGAAATAAATACGCTCTACCCCGTGCCCCTAGCATCAGACAAACCTTTGTCCTTGTGACTTATCTTAAGCCTCTTAGCCTGCCTTCTACGGTCCTTACATGAGATATTCCATTCAATACTAGATCACGGGGATACCATGTAGTGTTGGGCGACAATGCCTGCCGTTAGATCATCAGTTGATTTTACTGCACCCCCACGTCCTGTACGAACTGTAAACCCACCGCACGGACGTTCTGAAGCCCATAGTCGTTAGCGGAAATCGTGTAAGGGCGAAACAATTGCTGACTTTGTTAGAAATCCGTACACAAACACCGCGTGGTAAACCATAGCATACTCTCCAACGTGAGCACAAGAAGACAACTTATATTCTTGAAAGCCAATAAATAATAAGTTACAGTCGAGATAGCATTTGTGCTCATGCACTGATGCAGGCTTTGTGTGCGACGCAGACGCGACAGAACCTGCCCTCATCCGCACAGGCCGTTTCTCCCGCCAGTGGCGCGGTTTGGCGAAGATTTGATTTTCAGCTGCATCTGACAAGTCAGATGCAGCCTTGTAGAATGGCATTAGCGTAGCGTCCGTCCGTCACAGTTGCAACAAATCTACAACGCTCGAGTACCGGATTCGAAATCGGGACATGGGGGGGTAATCGAAAACGAGTTGGGATGCTCGAAGCTGGAGCGTCAACAGGTCAAGAGCTGTAAACAGAAGGGGAAAGACACATTCCCTCCTTCAACTTGAATGGTCAGGGAAGGAAATGCAGACATTGCGGCCAGCCAAGTCTAAAAGCCGGCTCGNTAATCATAATGCCCCGTAGGCCTACATGTTGGCCAATCTCCATATCTCCCATTTTAATTTTTTTTATTACAGAACATTTTAACAATTTGTTTGGTGAATCCCATTTTTTAGAGAGTAAATTTACACATACCTAATGTTGTATGTATACAAGTTTTAGTGAATAAGACACTATCAATGGCTTTACCCAAACTTCGAAGGGACATCACAAATGTAATTAATTACTAGTTGAATTAGAAACAAAATACTGTAATATTTTACTGATACTTCGTTACTGCGATACTTAATTGTTACTATGTTAATTGTTACTGTTTTACTGCGACACACTAATGTGATATTTCACTGTGATGCACATATTTTACTGATATATTTATTGGACAACGGTTGGCATCTCAATTGTTTACCATGCACTACGATCACTAGTATACCCGTTTTACAGTAGTAAAGATCGTGTCTCGTAGATCGAGATGTTTTAACGCGTTAGTACCAAAAACATAAACAAAAAAAGACGTTACCTGTCTCATAGCAGCTCGGAACTGGCTGGTATCAGGGTTGTCCCGTGCCCCTCCCTTTGCTCTTACAATCGAGAAGAGATTCTCAACAACATCCTGGTTCAGCTGTCTGGTAAACAAATATTTCATGTCGTGTTCTTGCTGGAGAAAGTCCCAAAGTTGCAGAATGCTGTTGATTGATATCTGCCAGCCAACAATACACAGCGGCATTCTAGAGCCTGAAATATACAAATTGACCAATTATTCATGCTGCTGATATTTCTTCACCAACTTGTACTGCCGCCAATAGCCCCAAAATGTGAAAATCAGTCATTACAGTTTTGTAGGGAGAGGTAGAATTTATTTATTTAACAAAGAAAATGCATTTATGCAATTATATGAAATTTAGCCTTGATTTTCTTACACTACGTTAAAACGACAAATATTGGCGAGTAGGATATGTTGAAGAAATAATTGGTGAGCATGTTCAAATAAACAATATTTCTTTTTACCCAAAATATAATGCTGGATTCCCTTATTGTTAAAGACCAAAATTTGTATGAATTGTGTCCAATAAATCTCTCAGATTATGGTCGACGCTGTGATGCGGCCGGGCAAATACTCGAACTGCGAGGAGGACGTCGATGAATTTCTCATCTCACTTAAGAACTCCACATCTGCTAAGGTATAATAATAAG